GGAACGGAAAAAAAAAAAAAAAAAAAAAAAAAAAAAAAAAAGAAATTAATTAATTAATTATTTTTTTAAAAAATGAGCTGGACCCATGGGGCACACACCAAGTGGGCAGAGCAGCCACGTGCCAATGAAGTGCCAGTTCACTGCAAAGGCAGCGCCAGACCCTGTCTCCCAGGGCCCTGACCTAGCCCTGCCACACGCCTTACCTCAGCCATGGCTACAGCACCCCTTTCAGTGAAGGTATTGTCATTCAGGTTGATGACCCGCAACAGGGGGTTGATAGCAAAAGCCTGGGCCAGGGCAGTGACGCCAGGGTGATTGATCCCATTCTGTGGCATGTGGACCTCCTCCAGAGTCCCGATGATCTGCGTGAGCAGGAGGGAAAGAGTGGAGAGATGGGCTCCCGAGTGCCACTGACATCCAGGAGGCAGGAGAGCAGTAGCACACATCAGGCATGGGGAGGGGCAGCCATCAGCATTGGGCAGGGGCTTGTCTGTGGGTTTTTGGGCACAGATCTCAAAGCACACTTTTGAGCATGGCTACACCTGATCCTCTCCACAACCGCATGAGGGAGACCTATGTGGGATTAGGATCCCCCCCAGAAAGAGAAGACTAAGGATCAGAGAGGCTAAGTGACTTGCCCACGGTCACACAGCTGTGAAGTAGGAGGCCTAGAACTAGAACATAGATTTCTTAGTCTGGTGTCTGCACTGTGGGGACCTGGACTCTGGCAGTCAGTCATGGTCCTCTGAATAATACAGTTCCACCTGACCTTTCCTTCTTGGGGCCCTCCTACCTTATCGGCACAATATAACCAGCATTCTACATGCCATGTCTTTTTTGGGGGAAGAGGAGGGTCTTCCCTGATGCACCTGGCCTTTTTCATCCTGGCCTTTGACATCTCACTCTTTCTGCCTGAAAACACTGTCTCCGTATTTGTTGGCATTTTCCTGATAGGGTAACTCATATGCTCTTAACATTCTACAGCTCTTGTTTTGGACACTCCCCAAAAAGGCTTCCTGGATTCCCCAGCCAGGGTTCAGTGCTCTTCCTCTGTGCAGCAGAGCACCCGGTTCTATCATGGCATTCTTCATCCTGGAATTCAAAGCCTAGATTCTTGTCTGCACCGCATCAGCCCCTGAGCTCTTGAGGAGAGTCCCACGTCCCAGTCTCCACTGCTACCAGGGATTGAGGATAGGCCTGGCCTAACTGTGCACCTTTAGCTGTCCCTGGGCACTCAGAATCATAAATATAGGAAGACCAACTGAGGCGTATTAGAGGCCAGGGCTTCTTAATAGTTTCTGTGCCATGGGCCCTTCGGGCAGTCTGGTGAAGCCCCTGGATCCCCTCCTGAGAAAAATGTTTTTGAATTTTAAAATAAATTATACAGAATTACAAATGAAATCAATTCAACTGGAAGTTATCAAAACATTTAGGGGAAAAAACCCAAATGTTTGCTAAAGTAATATATGTATTTTTTATAAACACCCTGAATAACAAGATAGGGGCAGGTCTGTGATCACTGTAACTTTAATGAAGTGTGCAGCAGACATCTCTACATGTCTGAAGCAAGTATAATCTGATATAAAACACCCAATTTCTAGTGGTGAGAAAGTCACAGGAATTTTTAATGCTGCTGAGGTTTATTGTCTACATTCACAATTTAAGGTCATACAATATTTTAGCTATTTTAGGGATAACAATGATGCAATATTCCCCCATCTATGTTCACAGACCCCCTGAATTCTATCCACAGACTGGGGGGACCCTGGGTTAAGACCCCATTCTAACCATACCAGAGAACAACTTACAAAGGTTCAGTATGACCACAGCATACCAATTCCCAGTGCTCCAAGGACAGCAACAAGTCCCCCTCCAACTCCAGAGAAGGAGGCAAGGGCTCCCCTGCAGCCAGGGGTCCAGGGAGACACAGGTAGACATCTGCAATATCCATGCCCCACTGAGGTGGGTGAGGAGTCTTTCAAGGTGGCTTCAGCAAAGAGGCCACTCTCAGAGGCAGGACTGGAGGGGATGTTACTTTGGCCTGGGTATGGTTAATGCTGCTAGAATGTTTGCCAAAGAAAACATTAAAATTAAGAGAAGAGGGGGACAGACCCCAAAGTTCCCAGTCCTGAGGTGTGGCCCTCTCCTGGAGCTCCCCATCAGGGACCGAGCAGTGTCCAGAGGGGATGGGGAGAGGATGAGAGTGGGGACAAGTTCTCCTGAGAGCACTTCATCTGTCACCTGGGCCTCTTGGTTGCTCCTGCCTGTCTCCCTATTGCAAGGGCAGTCTGATATGTTCCTTCCCCGTGCCCCCTATGCTGGGGAGCATGCCAGGCTACAGTCAGCACACACACTTCTTGCACCAGCACTTCTGAGCCTGGCAGATGGCACGCCCTGATCAGAGCAGCCTGCCCTGCCTGAAGCTTTGCAGGGAGCTGCTGCCAACTCACCTGAGGCAGTAAATCACACACCTTTCCAGGCACGCACGATGGGAGTTCTGGCCCACCTAAGGGTGAACTAACAGACTCAGAGAGTGGAAGCCACTTGCCTCAGGGCCCTCAGCACTGGGATTCCTATCCAAGACGGTAGACCTGCTAGGCCTGGCCCACCCAGTGCCTGGTGGGGCAGGATGGACAGAACCACTCACCCCAAAAGCTTCTGCCAAGGCAGTGGCTCCGTCATTCTCTAGACGGTTTCTGCCAGCCACAAAGACCTTCAGGGCTAGCGGCTTGCCTTGGGCACTGGATTTCCGGTGACACTCAGTCAGAGCCGCTGCCAGGATCTGTGGGGAAAGGTAAGGGGTACAGGCTGTGGGCAAGAGGCCCTTCTCCCAGCAGGGCAGCCAGTTCCTCTGAATTGCTATTCAACATCCCATGCCACCCACAAGGGGACACAGAACTGCTAAAAGCACAATGGTCACAACACACACGTGTACCCAACTTTACAGTTTACAAAGGGCTTTTACATCTGCTACTTTGTGTGTCACAGGCTGTGGAGTTTAGTTTCACTTTCAAGAAAGGGAGACCAAGGCCTACGGAGAAAAGGGAGAGATCAACACTGAGTGGACGAACTCTAAGCCAGGTCCAGGGGAGAGACTTCCCACTTAGCTCACTTGACTGTCACAAGCCCTCCGCTGGGTGCGATCACCAAGATTACCATTTTCCAGCTAAAGAAGCTCGGGCTCAGAGAGGGACAGAAACCTTCCCATGGTGACTAAGCAAGTGATAGACTTGAGCAGAGCCCAAATCCTCCAGCTTCTCTTCCATGCTCCACAACACCCACAGGAGCTGGCTGGTGAGACCAGGGCCCAGCTGCCCCTGTCTGATACTGACTGTGCCCAGGCCAGCCAGGCACACGTGGGCCCCACCTGCAGGGGATAAAAACCTAAAACCCAGGGCCGGCCCGTGGCTCACTCGGGAGAGTGTGGTGCTGATAACACCAAGGCCACGGGTTCGGATCCCATATAGGGATGGCTGGTTCACTGACTGGCTGAGCGTGGTGCTGACAACACCAAGTCAAGGGTTAAGATCCCCTTACTGGTCATCTTTAAAAAAAAAAAAAAAGAATAAAAACCTAAAACCCAGGGCCGGCCCGTGGCTCACTCGGGAGAGTGTGGTGCTGATAACACCAAGGCCACGGGTTCGGATCCCATATAGGGATGGCTGGTTCACTGACTGGCTGAGCGTGGTGCTGACAACACCAAGTCAAGGGTTAAGATCCCCTTACTGGTCATCTTTAAAAAAAAAAAAAAGAATAAAAACCTAAAACCCAGCTTGCCCTGTTCTTGGTATGGTGCCAGGGGGTAGCTTCTATCCTGTTACACCAACAGGCAATGCATTTCAAAACACTGATTGGTTGGTGGGAATCAGAGCCCATGGTAAACATGACATAAAAGATTCACAAGTAAGTGCTTGTAGGAGAGAAATAACACTTACAGACCACCTACTAGGTCCTGAGCACTCTCAACAAGCAAGATATTTTCACATGTTCTTGTTTCAACCTCAAAACTAGCCTGGGAGACATGTGGTACTGGCCTTACTTTACAAACGAGGAAGCTGAGGCTCAGGGAGGTAAATGACTTGGCTAAGGTCACAGAACAAACACTCAGCAGAGCAGAAAATAGCAGGCAGGTTGGCCTGACTCCTGGCTTAAGACTACACAGCTGTTCTGGAGGAATGTAAGGGCCACCCACCTGCCTGACTCCATGGTGGTAATGGTGGGTTGTGTGTAGGCTCAGTGCAGAGGCATGAGCTGCTGCTGCAGACCAGCCTCTGAGGAATCTTCTCAGAGGTGGCAACCAACTGTGTTAGCTCACCCCCATTCTCCCTGATTCCCCTCTGGGGTCACCATGCTGAGGGCCTTAGCTCCTGCAGGAGTCCAACATGGAGACACATTCTGGGTGGAGACTTCCCAAGCACAGGACCACATGCACATTCCCCATCAAATCCTCTGGGCCCCTCCTATTCCCATGGGGTGTGGCACACGGACCACACTTAATATATACTCATACTACCTGGAGAGACAGATTCCAAAAGACCTGCAGGCCTTGGTTAGATACCCAGACCTTGGCATCTGCAGCTCCGAGGAGGGGAGGTTGGCAAGGCCAGGACCCAGAGGCCTTATCCAATCAGGGGTGAGGGAGGCAACAGAGCTACAAGTCAAATTCCAGGGTGAGCTGGTCTGTCAGGGAGGACCCTGGCCTGGGGTTCAAACTCTCTGCTTCCCCGAGTCATCCCGCCCACTGAGCCTTATTTTCCTGGCACTGCCATGTGGTAGAAGTAACAAGACGGAAGGAAAACCAGAGCACTTTACAACAGTGTCTCCAGCTCTCCCAGCACATCCCACCCACTCCAGGTCAGGCTGCACCTGTTTTCTGTGCTGCTGTGAACACTTACATGATATCTTAACACATGGACAGCTTATCGCCCAATTAGACCAAGTGGAAGGCTGGCTGAGACAGGCACGGCATGCCCCTGCTCTCCCTCCCAGGGCCAGAGGGCGACAGGGACCCTGAAGGCGGGAGCACGCTGGCTGCTCAGCCTGGGCAGCACAAGCCTCACACGGCTCCTCTTACTGCTCAGAATGGAACCTCGTGGATGACGGCCCCAGTTCCACAGCCGTCCCTCACTAGCTATGTAATCCACTCAACCTCCACCTCTAAGCCCAAGTTTACTCATGTGGAAACATGGGGTAGCTTAATATATCTTCAAAAAGATGTCCCCAATCACTATTAGTTCCTTGTGTCCCAGCCCTTTTCTCCCCTCAGTCAAAATGTGTGTGTGGTGGCAGGGAGCAGACTAGCACTCAGCATCTCTCAGCTGTGGGTCTAGAGGAGCCAGGAAGAACCTAGAAGAGAACAGTGAGAGCTGGCCCCCCCAACCCCCAGTGCAGGCTCTGGGCAGCACCCCAGGAAAGGCCCTGTCCAGGAATCAAGGGGAGCTGGGTCCACGTCACCCTCAGGGACACATTTCTTTTTCTGGTTCCCATCCTCCATGTGCCCCAGGCCTCGCTCTGCCAGTTGGTCTGAGGGTGCAGTGAGTGTAGGAATGCCCTAAGCCCTGTGTTCTGCAGAGTAGCAGGTCAGAGCGGGCATGCAGCAGCACTGCCGCTGCGTTGCCAAGCCAACGCCACCACTGGGATGGTTGCTTGGCAACCCCACCCTCACCAGCTCTTCTCCCCACTGGCCATAGGCTGCTGCCTTTGAGGCCCTTCTCCTTTAAAGAGAAAAATGACAGGCCAATGATCCCAGATGGCAATGAGTGAGGGCAGGAGCACAGACTACAGACAGATGGGGGGGGGCGGTACCACACCCACCTTGCCACCGCCAATGCCCATGCCACAGTTGTTGAGCTTGAGCTCATGCAGGGTGAAGCAGGCTGAACTCTTGAGCAGGACCTCGAAGCCTCGCACACCATCAGGCCCAAACGCATTGTCACTTAGGTCCAGCTCCACCAGCTGGGCCCCAGCTGTGATGAGTCCCTCCCCTAGTGAAATCTGGGCACAGAGGGAGTTCAAGTTAGTTTCACAGACACCTACCAGGTGCTGCTTCTGTGCCAGGCCCAGTCCCACCTTCAGGTGGCATCCAGGCTAGAGGGGAACCGGCACAGACACAGACCTTTTCAGTACAGAGTTTTCCTTATTATACACCCAAGACTGTAAACCCTGCAGAGGGAGTGGGACCCGTGGCGGGGGGCAGGTCTGGAAAGGCTCCCTCTAGGAGGTGACATCTGAGCTCAGTGTGGATGAGAATTGGCCAGTTGACATAAGATTCCAGGCAGCAGTAAAAACATGAGCAGAGAGAGCTGAGCACCAAGCAGCACGCTGTGTGCGTGGGGGGCAAGCAGTCAGCAGACCCCAGAAGAGATGAGGCACGGGCTGTGGCTGGAAGGGAAGCGAGGGGTCAAATCAGGCAGGAGCCTTGAACACCGGGCCAGGAACTATGAACGTGAGCCTGACAGCAACAGGCTCAGGAGGTGGCTGAGGGATATGTTAGAAACATCCCCGAGCCTGAGGAGAGCAGACTGCTGGGCTGAGGGAGGCTGGAGGCCGAGTGTCCACCTGGGAGTGCGAAGCAGCAGTGCAGGCAACAGAGGAGAGGGAGGAGAGGAAGCTGAGCCTGCTCACAGGGAGGGGACCCTGCAGAAGCCAGGGGCTCCCTGGAGGTGCAGGAGGCAGGGGGAGGCACCAAAAGATGCCTCCAAGGTTTCTGGTGGTGACTGGGCAGATGGAAGTGGCCCTCTCCAAGCCATGGCCCCAGACTAGATTTGGCAGGAGGATACTGAGCTCTCCTGGGACACCTACAGCCCCCAGGAGAAATGGTCAGAGGAAAGGAGGCTCTGCCAGAGGCTGGGGGCAGAAATGGGGCTGGCAGGTGGCTGTGTGGCAGGAGTGCTGGAAGGAAGACATCCTGCCTCCACCCAGGCCACCAACCCAGTAGCTGAGGCAGTTTCTACTGTCTTTCCACCCCTCAATAAACAAAAGGCAGGACACTCTCTGACTGCCCTGTGGTAGAAGGCCTGGCACCTGGTGATCTGGCCCAAATGACCCCTAGACCCAAGCAGCCACAGCTGCTCAAACATCCTGCATCCACCCCCCCTTCCTGGTATTTGGTCCCATTCTCAACCCTAAATTCTCTTTTCCCCCTCTCTTAGGTCTCATTCTCATCACTGGGGATCTGGAGATAAGAATATTACCTCAAATAGGCCGGCCCGTGGCTCACTCGGTAGAGTGCGGTGCTGATAACACCAAGGCCGCGGGTTCGGATCCTATATAGGGATGGCCGGTTTGCTCACTGGCTGAGCGTGGTGCTGACAACACCAAGCCAAGGGTTGAGATCCCCTTACCGGTCATCTTTTAAAAAAAAAAAAAAAAAAAGAATATTACCTCAAAGCTTGAGGGAATTAAATGCTAAGTGTAGGTAGAACAACTCGGACAGTGACAATCCCATAGCAAGTATGCAACAAGAAAGTTTTCCTCAGTCTTTTCTAACCTGAAATCCTTTAACTTACAATCACCCAGATGAATGTATTTACCCTATACTCTGAGTCCTAGCCCCACCTCGCCTTGATCTCCCTTTGAGGCTGAGCACTGACTCCGCCAGCTCTCTGAGGGCCTCCTCAACCCAGCACACAGGGATCCTCCCTCTGGGACCCTGACAGCATCTGTCACTTGGGATGACACTGAAGTGTTTGCTGGCTTGAGGCTCTTTAGAAGTCAGGTTGGTACATGGGCATCTCTGGAGTGCCAGTCAGATCAATGAAGACTTAAGTAGGAGTCCCCAGTGTGACAGGTGATGGACTCAGTAACATCAATGAGAACACTAATCACTGACCAGAAACTGCCCTCCCCGAGGGTCTGATGTGTGCCAGGCCCTGTGCCAGGAGGATACACAGAGACAGGGCACTGCCAGCCTGCCCCCTTCCCTTGAGGTGCAGGCAAGCCCAGTTCTGTTCTGTGTGACACCCCTGTCCCCATCCATGCACGCTGCACATGCACACGTGTGCACTCTCTGAGACTGGGAGCCTGATCCAAGCCAGTTCAAGCCCCAGGAATGGGGAAATGGGAAAAAAAGGCAGAGAGAAGCCACCCAGGATAAGAACCAAAGCAAAAAGAGTGGGGGAGGTGGCAGAGGAAGATGGGGTGGCCTCATGGGCTGTGTCAGAGGGAGCAGGACCACAGGGTACAGGGAGGCGATGCCAGGAAAGAAAGGTAATCATGTAGGGGTGAAGTCCACAGGGTAGGCCAAACCACAAAGCTCAGGACAAACCCTGGGAACTCCTGGTCCCTACTTCCTTCATCTGAGTCCTCCACCTCTGGCTCCTCCCCCTTTGATCACCTGTGACCTCACAAGCTCCTCCTGTCAGGACACAGAGCACGTGCTGGGCTTGCCTGGCTTCCCTCTCAGCACCTGTGGGGCTTATCTGAGTCTCCAGAAAGTGCCCACTGTGAGAAAAGGTCCTGGGAACAGCAAAAGGGGTCTCTGTGCCTGGGGAAGGGAGGAGCTCGCCCACTTACCAGGGCTGGTGGGATCTCAGACCGCAGCCTCCCCGTGAACATGTCGCTCCAGTGGCATCGCTGTGGCAGGAGGAAGAACAGAAGAATTAGCTGGAGACCCTCCAAGGCAGCCTGAAGTGGACTTGGACTACCCAAGCATTGTAAGACTTCTTAATGAGGGCTTTGTCAACAAAAGCTAAACCAGTTCTAGTAGAAGCTGGTGGGACCTGAAGGCCTTTCCTCATGTCAAGTTCCCCCAAGAGCCACGGGGGCTTAGCAGAAGTCTCAGAAAAATCCCTCACCTGCCCGATCCTCTGGCTGGACATGTGACATGATTCTGGGAGATGAAGGAACACAAAAGTAAACAATATGGGATTCAGCATCAAGGAAGTTACTCTTTCCAAGTGTCTTTTCAACCCCTCTGACCACCTCCAGAAGACAGGCCCAGAGCTGTTAGGTGGCAACAGTGTCAAATCAGAATTCAATAACACTATTTTATTTCTTTTATTGTAATGAACACTGGCTTTCCATTTATAGAAATGACATCTGCTTTGAAATTACTTAAAAGGGGCCTGCCCGTGGCTCACTTGGGAGAGCATGGTGCTGACAACACCAAGTCAAGGGTTAAGATCCCCATACCAGTCATCTTTAAAAAAAAAAAGAAATTACTTAAAAGTTAAGTAATTTTTTTTTTTTTTTGGTCCTTTTTGAGACCGGCTGCACCGCGCTCAGCCAGTGAGCGCTGTGAGCACACCGGTCATCCCTATATAGGATCCGAACCCGCGGCAGGAGCGCTACTGCACTCCCAGCGCTGCAGTCTCCCAAGTGCGCCACGGGCTCGGCCCAAAAGTTAAGTAATTTTAAGAAAGTATTAGGCAAATGTCACATAGGTGGTGGCCACATAACTTGGATGTATGTCACACTGGCCAGCAGAATTTGGTCTCTAAGCACACGGCTCTATCCCCCCCCACTACTGGTTGCTGTGTCCACTCCCAAAATAAAACCTTGGCAACCTCAGCTTTCTCTGGGCAAAACCCGGGACTGATGGGATACAGGGAAAACCACTTTCCCCCAGACAGCCAGTCCTTAAAATGTATGAACTAAATCCAACCTTATGTACTAGGGAAGTTGATATTTGTAGAAAAATTATCACATTCTTCAATAAACCAAATCACTAGCACACCTGGGACCTCAGCTGGATGCTCCATACGGGTTCTACTCAGTGAGTTACACCTGCACATAAGTCTTTAGGGCCAGGAATATGCACCACAGGCTGAGCACCTTGGTCTCTTACAGCAGACACTGGCATCTCACCCTGAAGTTCCCCAAACCATGCTGATGAGCTGAAGGGTCAGCATGAAACTCCATGGCACAAGGCCAGGGTCCCAATCCTGACTTAGCTGACCCCAGGCTGTCACTCCCCGTCTGGCCCCTGGTACCCTATCTCTGTACCCTAGCCTTCATAATTTCCAAGTGAACTGCAGAGCACTTAAGAGCTTGGGCTGACATCTGGGCTCTATCCCAGCCCACTCCTCGTTGTGTGGCCCTGGGCTCACCAATCAAGACCTCCCTTGTGCACTGTTGCAGCAGGGGAGGTAACATCTTATCTTGCATCAGCACCAGGCCCAGAACACTGTGGGCCATCAAGGGCAGCTCCCACCCTGCACCACCCTGGGTTTCTTCCTGCAGAGGCAGGCCTGAGATGGTGGGGTGGGGAGATGCACTCAAGGCACTGGGTCTGCACGGGGTGCCAAAACGCACATGGCACTCCCACAGGCCAGGCTCTCTCACAACAACCTCTGAGGGAAGAGGAAGAGCTCCATTCATAAAAGAGCCCAGCCTCAGAGCAGAGTTCAGTGCAAAGCCAGATAACACAAATAAGGTGTTGGCACTGGGCCTTGAACCCAGGCCCTGGATGCCAAAGCTCAGCTCCTGCCACATCCTGCAGGCTCACAGCTCCTCCATTCCTGCTGTGCACAGGTTACAGAGAGGGCAACAGCCCAGCTTATGCTCAGGGAAAGTCCAAGCCCTGGGCAGGAGAAACAATCATTGCCTTGGTATAACCTGACCACGATCTCCCTATGGAAACATCAAGGGCCACTCTGTAAACTAGCTTGCAGGCCCTTCCAGGGCAAATCCACTTTGTTTCCTATCATGGCCCCTGGACCTGTATTCCCTCCCTTCAGAAAGTATAGTGGGGGCCAGCCCGTGGCTCACTCAGGAGAGTGCAGTGTTGATAACACCAAGGTTTGGGAGTGTGACAGGTGGCTAGCTAGGCCACATACCTGCTCTATGACCCCGGGCTATTTAATCAGCCCCTCTGTGTCTCAGTTCCCTTGACCTATAAGATGGAGACTCAACCTAGTCTCTTAGCTGGTTGCTGTGAAGTCGAATGACATAATACACACAAGCTTTGTCACATACACATTAAGAGACATACAGGTCTCCCTAGCTCACAACTCTTCAGACTTTAACATGCTAACACACACTGGGATTCTGGGGGAGGGGAACATACAGACATCCCCCTGACATTCTGATCACATGACACCCTCACTTTTCTTACAGGGCATATTGAAAGAACAGTGTTCAGTGGAACCCACTTTGGTGACGCTGGAACAGAAGAATCTCAACTGGTCTTTGTGTTGGCCAAGAAGGGGTCCCACTTGGATCTAACCTCCAAGAAAGAACTCGCCTCAGCTGTTAGGAGTAGTTAGCTGCACCTTCCCAATCCACCAGCATCTGAGCTGAAACCTGGCCATCTCTGCCCAACACAAGACTCCGTTAAGGGGCAATTTTTGCTCTGGAGCTCTCAGCTGGGTGGATGTGTCAGAATGGCCTCATGGTCAGAGTCTCCTGATGGCTACTTCTGCAGCCTTCCTTCCTCACAGGTGTCATATCTGCCTCATGAACTGCAGGCTCCCCTCTTTATCTTTCATAGGTGTTACCCAAATAAACCCCTGCACTCCTAACACAACCTCAGTGTCTGCTTACTAAAAGGAGAGGGGCCCTGGCCAGTGCCACGTGCTTCAGAGAGGCCAGGAGAAGCTGTTCAGGTGATAGTCCATAGAGCAGGGGCCCAGGAGAGTCTAGACATAGGGAGGGGTTCTGGCGATGTGAGCCAATACTGGGCCTGGATCTCACCTTCAACTCCGACTTCTTCTCTAAGGCCTTGGCAATGACCCTGGCTGCTTCCACACCCACCGTGTTGCCCTCCAGGCGCAGAGCCTCCAAGCCGTCAAAGTCTTCAATCTCTTTAATCACATCTTTAGCTGCCCGGGACCAAAGAATAGAACCTTAAGCTTTTGGAGTCATGAACAGCTGAGGCAGAAGAGAGCTTAGCTTAGCACCCACCTTGTCACTCACACACTCCAACAGTTATGGTGCACCTACACCATGGCAGGGTTCTGGCTTACAAAGGAGAATCAGACAGGCTCAGCCTAGCAGGGGACACAGCTACACAGACAATTCCTCTATACTGAGTGTTAAAACAAGGCATGTATAAAAGCTGAGAGCCAAGGGAAAAGAGCAACTGGCTGCTTGGAGCAATGACAATTTTGCCAAGTGCGTGGTATATGTGCAGCCTCCAAGGAGGCAAGCGCACTAGGCCAGGCAGGGAAACAGCACCCAAGTTGGAGGACCAGCAGGCACAATGGCACAAAGGCCTTCAATGTTAAATGACTCATGTGGGATGTTTGAGCATTACTGTACTATTTTATTATGATGAAAAATTCCAAACCACCTAAACGTCCATCAAGAGAGGATTGTGTGGTATAATATACAATTTGTTATGTATGTTATTCATATAACATATATATTATATATATATTAGTTACACTAAAGTCATTATGAATGGTGACACAGGTGTTTTTTTGAAAATACTCATGTTATGGTGATAAGTGAAAAATGATGTCCAACAGTGTTTAGCCTGATCACACTTTAAAAATGTTATATGTATTCACACACACATATGCACACACACACACGCACACACACACATAAAACACATAAAACGTATAAAACAAGGTCCAGAAGCATAGAAACCAAATGTTAAAAAATGTTAAAGGTAGATTATGGGTGATTCTTCATTTTTTCACCATCTGCAGTAAAATGTTCTCATATCAGGTTATAAAGCAGCTTTTATTTTTTTAAAAAATTTATGGCAGCTAGCCAGTAAGTGGAACTGAACCTTTGACCTTGGTGTTATAAGGTCGTAAAATGTTCTCATATCAGGTTATAAAGCAGCTTTTATTTTTTTTAAAAATTTATGGCAGCTAGCCAGTAAGTGGAACTGAACCTTTGACCTTGGTGTTATAAGGTCACACTCTAACTTAGCTAACCCATCAGCCCTAAAACAGCCTTTAAAGGATCTATAATAGGGGCCGGCCCGTGGCTCACTCGGTAGAGTGCGGTGCTGATAACACCAAGGCCACGGGTTCGGATCCCATATAGGGATGGCCGGTTTGCTCACTGGCTGAGCGTGGTGCTGACAACACCAAGCCAAGGGTTGAGATCCCCTTACCGGTCATCCTTATATGGGAAAAAAAAAGGATCTATAATAGAATCCTAATTATTAAAAAACAAAACAAACAAAAAACCCCCACTCAGCTATGTTCAGAAGAAAAGAAAAAAAACACTATTACACTAGAAAGAAAATGCACCAAAATTAACAGTAGTTATTATATCCTTGGGCTATGTTATAATGAATATCCCCCCTTCTTTGAGTGTTTCTGTATTCTGTAATGAACATATATTAATTTGTGTGTGTGTGTGTGTGTGTGTGTGTGTGTGTGTGTGTGTGTGTGTCCGGCAACGGATCGCAACCCTCAGTGTCGCGCCTGTACCGGA